TTCACTTAAAGATCAGTCCTGTTCACAAACAGAAAAAGAAAATTGTTCAGGAAGAAGAGATCCCTGTTCTGCGCCTTACACACTTTACTCATTCACCAAAGATAAGCTTTGAAACAGTCAAGCTTGGTACAACACGCCAGAGAAAGCTTCGAGTGCTAAACCCTAAAGATCAGAAGCAGCTGGTTAGTGCACTTTGTACTGTTTGAAATAGATGCAGTTTTATTTTGTATAGTAATCTTATTGTGTTATTTTTTTCTTTTCTTTTCATCTGTTTGTTTCTCTTGCTCATGCCCTTCCCTCCAATTCTGCCCTTGTGCAAAATGTTGAAATACCTTTGAGAATGTAGTTGGGGAATGATATACTCTTATGATAGGGAGAATGAAATTCTTTAAGTTTTATCATCTATTTATCACTTTTTGATAATTTTAAAAAGGTCTTATTTGATAAAGTTTTCCTGTAAAAAAAAAGTTGATATCCAATGGGAGTATAAAAAGAAATACTGAAGAGTTAAAAAAAAAAAACTTTTCTTTCCTATATCTTACAGTTTTTCTGTGAAAAGTTCCCTGGGGAAGACTCTGGTTTTGCCTGCTCAGATCTGAATCTAGAACTAGAGCCAGCAGAGAGTGTTGACCTTATTCTTTCGTGGACTCCTGTGAAGGAAGGCAACGTACGGGAACTGATCCACTGGAAAACTACTCTGGGAGTCCGGGCACAAACCGTTATCCTTGGAACTTGCATTGATCCCAATGCCAAAAAGGTGTGTTGCATTATTAATTCCAGTAGGAGGAAATAAGAAAATATTGTGTATTCCTGGAATATTTTGTGTGTTTGTCTGTGCACGCGAGCATGGGAGAGTCATTAGCTAAGTAAAACTACAATAGATTATTAATATTTAATATTACTGATTTTGGAGGAAGTGATGTTAGGCCTTATATGGAAGAACCAGAAGTTAAGAGATAACATTTCTGCCCTCAGAAAGCCAAAGGGAGAGGAAGAGCACCTCTGAAGCCACAAAATGCCTCCTTAGGGCAGTCCAAGAAGCCAGTATCCGTTCCTGCCCCCAAGGCTCCCCAGGGAGGCAAACGAGTCCTCAAACCCGCTGGCAAGAAGAATGGTAGCGAAAACAAGCCACCAGTGTTCCAGGAACCAGTTGTTAGACCTGAAGCCTTTAATTTTGCTGAATCTACCCAAAAGGGAAAGAAGGTAGGTTTTTGTTTGATACCTGGAATGTTTTGTGTCAGGGAACTGTGAATTTTTAATAATTGTTATTCATATACTATATTATATAGGAGTTGAATACATAAAAGTGTTCACTTTCTTTTTACATATTTATCATTGTATAATTATACATGCTGATGTAAATGTATTGGATTTATGATGACAGTGTCATGATTTAAATTATAAGGTAACCATTAGATTACAACTAAATTGATTTAATTCTTAACTATATTTCTATTTGTGAATCTGATTTGGCCTAAACTTTAGAGGAGGCTGGCTTCACATGAGTTAGTTTATCTCAAATATGCTTATTTGGAAAGATGATTTATAGAGATAAGTTTTGCTATACATTTTTTCTTCTATGTTCATACATGTATGTAAATTATGCCCTCCCCCACACACATGTACACATTTATACACAAGTGAATATATATATATGTACAGTACATATACATATTTATTTACATGTACATAGACATATATAGTCTGTACATAGGCACACATTTATAGAATGTTGTCTAATATTTCTTTAAAATTAGCAAACTCATTCCTTTTATTAAGATTGAAGCTTATGCATAATATGTTCAATACAGCAAGCACCATCAACTTCAAAGAATTCAAGGAGAGTGGTCATCTCAACTTCAAGTCAAGAGAGTGTTGTGGCTGAACCTGGGACATTAAACTCTACAAGGAATTCTGAAATGTGTGCAGAAACAGAGAGTCTGTATATCTCAGCAATTGAACCAGAATCTGTGGCTTCTCCTACAAAGCGCAGGCCACAGCCCAAGCAACACCCAAGGAAGGGGCTGAAGCATCATGTTGCCTGGAAAGATGTCTCAGATTCAGAAGACTTTACTGCTAGGAGGATGACGTATTGTTTGCCAGGGCAGGGTGAGGTGACAGAAATTCATCAGATTGTTGATGAAGAGACAACAGAAATTAGCATAAAGTGTGAGGAGGTATATGAAGTGTTTTATAATGTGACAGAAGAAGTGATGAAGGATGGAACTCGGGAGACTTTTGTCACCCCTGGTGCCCCGTCCCTTGTTTCTACCAAAGAGAAGACACTAAAGCAGACTGAATCCAAGCATTCAGAGGAAGTTTGGCAAGTCCATGATGCCATACATGAACAATCAGAAGAGTTGCCATTGAGACGTCAAACCTTTGCAAAAGGAGTCAAGCTAAGCTCCAATGATAGTGCTGATGGAGATATCCATTCCATCAATTATTCAACAACGGAAACTACAACTTTTTCAAATGAAACCTTCAGAAAGATTGTTGGTCAATTGCCTCCGTGCAATGCCGAAGAGTCTCCAATGAGACGACAGACTTTTGTTGCATCAAAACCTGAGAAGTTCAGATCAGTGGAAGGTGACAGTCTGCCAGTTTGCAATGGACTAGCTACACCACTGCGAAGACAGACATATCTTACTGCAGATGCTAACAACTTCAAAAGTGTTGAGAATGGCAACCTTCCATTGTGTGATGTTGAAGAGTCCCCACTAAGAAGAAAAACTTTTGTCAAGAAAGACCAGGACTTCTTAAGACGTCAGAGCCTGTTTCACCGAGATGATATGGAGAACCTTGACAGTTATAAGGATTGTCACATTTACAGCGATGTTTGCAAGCAATTTGAAAATTCAAATGCTTCAGATACCTCAACACCAACTATGGGTTCAACTCCCCCTCTCCGGGGTGACTGCTCGGTCACTGGACTTCAGATGACTCCAATTACTCCTGCTCCACTAACAGGCATTAATAGTTTGGCATCCATGAGGGCTTCATGTATGAATTTTTTGGAAAAGTTGAATTGTGAAGAGGTTCCTGACACGCCAAAGGTATCCTCTAAATCTGAAATGAAGGGCTCCCTGAGCTCTGGCTTCAGTTCTTTTTCCCCAGATACAGATATGTACACAGCTCCTGGCTCCCCTTCATCAGAGTATGAAACTGCGCCAAGTACACCACCTGAGCCGGCGCTTGCTATTGAGGACTTTGATGTTTCAGTAGAATTTCCAACACCAAAGATTGGGGAACATGTGACCAAACTGAAGTCTGTGAATCTAGATGATGTTTCGCTTATGCTCAAGCAAGAGCTAGAAGGCCACAGGAAAGAAGTTTTGGAAGAAAGCATCAGCACAGATAGTCTTGAGAAGACATTTAGCCCAGAGAAAGCTTTAACTGAAAGCCTACCTGCTTTGCATCAGCATGAATTGTATGTAGAACAAGGAAGGGAAACCTCTGAATCTCAGAGTCCTGTTCCCCATCACCAATTAAGTACTGAGACCATTACAAAGGAGACATCTATTTTGCATCCTGATGACATTGTAGCAGTTGATGAGCACCACAATAGCTGTGAGACAGTAGTCAGAGATTTACCAACATTTTCACCATCATCTCTGCCACAGGTGACAGAGTTCAGTAACCCTCGCAGGATGAGTGACATAGGATTGCAAAGATACACTAAGAAAAAGCAGAATTCACGTAAGAGTGATTCATTCTTGGATTGTCATGAACCATACCAAAGTGAGGCTCTAGATGAGCTACTCCTCTTTAAGGGAGTTGCAAAGGAAACTGGACTTGCTCCTGAGGTGATACAGGAAGAAGTGCAAGATGAAGACTTTATCATAGCTTCTGCTGCAGACTTTAGTTTTGATCCCAGCATAGATCCTCGGCGATGCTCCACAGGTAGAAAACCCTTGCCACCTGATGAGCTAAATGAACAGCGTAGGTTATCAGATAAATGTCGTCAGCTCTTCCTTGCTCCTGAGGAAGTATCTCAAGTTGTTCAATGTTCAGAAACTTTTGATGCTGCTCCTGCTCTTGGTCTCAGCACAATACTTGAGGTAGAAGAGGCAACATTAGCTATGCCCCTCAACAAAACATGTGATGTGCCCCTCAGCAGAACACATGAACTTCCCATGAACAAGACACATGAGTTATCAGTGAACAGGACTCAGGATTTGCCCATGAATAAGACACATGACATACCTCAAAACTGTTCTGAGGAAATACCCTTTGATAAAACACATGATTTACCTAGAAACAAAACCCAAGACTTATCACTGAACAGAACACATGATCTACCCAGAGACAGAAACCAAGATGTGCTTATGAACAAAACTCAAGATCTGTTGACTGATGGAAGTCACAATGTATACTTGAGCAAATTTGATGAGTTCCCTATTAACCAGACACACAGTCTGTCCAAAAATAAAACACAGGATCTATTAATGAATGAAACACAGAATCTACCTGTGAGTAAAATGCAGGGTCAATCCATGAATACAACACAGTGTCTGTCCATGAATAAAACAAAGGATCTATCCATGAATAAAACACAGGAATGTCCCTTGAATAAAATACAAGGTTTTGAGGAGGCGAGAGATATGTCTGTGGATGAAACCAAAAATAAGCCCACAACGGAAACACTCCAGTTGCCTGCAAATGTAACTCACAATTTAACCGGGGATGATTGTCTAGATTCCCAACTAAATAAGACACACAGTCTGCATGGGAGTAAGACAAGGGATTCATCCTTTGGGAGAACCCAGGTATTGAATCACAGGCATGATAGTAAGACCTCTACAGAATCATATCAGTCTCATATTTGTGAGTTCTCAGAAGAATTTACTACTGAAACTCAAATTATCAAAGCGAAAGTAGAGATCCAACAGGAAGTATGTTTGGCTAATTCAGATGTCACTGCTGAAGTTGTGAAGAAGGAAGAGGGATCATCAGATGTTTTGCAAAAGAAAGATGAGGAAGAGAAGCACGGACTGTTGTTTATTGGAATATCGCCAACGCGTCCCAAGAGGCCACCAGAAGAACAGCAAAAGAAAAGTATGCCAAAGCGAAGCAGGGTGAATCCTGCTCCTGGGGTGTCTGTGAGAGTGTCTTCACTCAAGTCACGAAATGATAAACAGAGTCCAAAGAAACTGTCTGTAGTATCTAGCAAGTGCAGGAGTCCATGCAAACCTGTTGCTAGGAACACTATGGCAACAAAGGCACCACCAAGAAGCTCTTTAGTGAGGAAAGAGAACTCAATGCGAGCTCCATCTGCATCACAGCCTTCGAGGACGCTTGGTAAGTTCCTGCTCCACATCCGTTTCTTCTTTTCTATATTATTATTCTCCTCTTCCTCCTCCTCCTCCTCCTCCTCCTCGCTTCTAGCTAGTTGTGATATATTTACATGTTACTGAAATATCTATAGATTTTGTTTGTATTTTCTTTTAGATAGTATCCTGATCAGATGTAAATGCAGTGTGTCTAACTTTTTTTCTTTTTTAGGTCAAACCAAATCCATTTCGGGGTCCCGTTTAAGTAGATCATCATCACGTCCTAAACTTGCCTCCATGTCTGCTTCGACCTCTTGTCTTGCTAGTACTACTACTCAGTCTGCTCCAGTCCGTCATTCTTCTGTCACAGATGTAAACACTGGTCTCACTAACTCAACAGTTAGCATTAGCAGCTCCAGCTGCTCTTTGTCCAAATCATCCTCGGCAAGTGGCCTCAATGCATCAGCTTCGTCATCAACATCTTCATTAAACCGTAGGAAGCTGGTCTCAAAGAGTGGTTTGAAGGGCCCACAGTCTAAATTAACTCTCATCAAATCAAACAAAACAAGCATTGTGCACCACCCAAATCCATATGCTGCAAAGTAAGTACCCAATATGAACTGGTAACACAGGTTATATTAATCATCCTTTTCAAGTCTCCTCTGCTACTACTTTGCATACTGTTTTGGATAGATTCTGATTGTGTTATGCTTGTATCAAATCTACCAAGGTATATCTTTTATATCCTTTCGGTGCTCCTGCATTCTTCTGTTCATATATAAATTAATGTTTTTTTCTCTAAAATATTTTATTCAAATTATCTACTAAGACTTTGTACAAGTTTGTTCAACACTTTTACATCTAACAGGAACATGTACTACGATGACCGCTGGGTGGAGAAACAAATAGCAGGTTTCACAAACTGGCTGAACTTTATTCTCACTCCTCCAGAGGAAGAGGATGTGGCATCTAAAGTGAAGAAAGGTTTGTAATGAGTAGCCATTAATTCTAAAATGCCATGTACACATAAATGGTTGCTTTTATGGCAGTCATAAAGTAGCCTGGTGCTTGTAGCTGTACATATTTTTTTTGTAGCCCTGGTATCTTTTTGATACGCTCAGCAAATTTGTTAAACAAAGAACTAAGTACTCAAAATAATTAAAAGGATTGTTTATGCACACGAGTTTTCAAAACATTGAAAGCTCTATAATTACATACACCATATTTATTTATTTACTTATTTATTATTATTATTATTTTTAGTGATATGTAAGTGTAGCATATCCTAATAACATTGTTTTGATTTATTTAATAGTCAGAACATTGCTGTATTTCAGTTAATAGTTATCACCAACGTGTCAGTTATCATATAGTTTTCATCACCAGTCCGTTACCATGTTATCAGTCATTACCAACCTGTCAAGTGCATCTTCATCTCAATTAAAAAGTGAGTATAGTATTTGTATTCCTCTCATTTATAGTTGATATGGGCAAGCTGTGGTCAGAGGCTACAAAGAGTTCACGGATAGAGGTTGCACCAACCAAGGAAGTGATGTCCCTGAGAGCTTACACAGCAAGACGAAGGCTCAACAGACTGCGCCGAAAAGCCTGCAAGTTCTACCAAAGCCCAGAGGTGGTTGAGGTGGTGGCCAAACTTGAGACAGCCATTGACAAGAAGTTGTTAGCCATTCGCAAGGACAGGCTTACCCATGCAGATCTTGGTGAGTGTGTTTATGAATTAGTTATTTTAATGTTATAGATATCAAAACTGCTTCCTGTTTAAAGATATATTATTTAGATTTTTGCTTTCTGTAATGTATCTGTTTGCATTTCAATATGTGGAAGTAATAATTTAATGTTTTCTTGCATTACAATATGATATCTGTATATGAGTTATATCTGCAAATTTTAGATAATAAAGCTGTTAGAGTTAGCATTGTTTAAAAGTTGGTGACCTGAGGTGACCTTTTTTATGCAGAACTAGGAAATATCCCCAAATGAATATTGTTTTCATTTATAGGCTTGAAGCAGATGATGCTCCAGTTAGTGCTCTCTTACAATCCCCTTTGGCTGCGCATTGGGCTGGAGACTGTGTATGGAGAGCTTCTTCACCTTAACTCTAACAGTGACATGACTGGTATTACACGCTTCATTATCACACGGTATGGATCTTTAAGCATATATGAACCACATGTTGCTGGGTAAAATGAATAAAAAATGGGGAAAATGTTGTGCTCATTTTTGTCAAATGTCTGCACATAGATGGCTCTGCTAGTGCTTAGCCACAAAGTCAATAAGTAGACGTGACCTTATCTAATTTTCTTCAGTTGGTGGGAAAAACAATTTTTTACTAGTACTATGAATATCAATGGTGGTTATTTTTATTATAACATTATAATTACTTTGCGTAAAAACAATTAATAAAATAAACTCGGTGGGCATGGCATGTATGTACATGCCATGACCATTGGCACTGGGTTAATCTCCTTTTGATCTGTGTATTACACAGTTCAAGTTGTCTTTCTGATGTTCATATAGAGCATATTGTTACAGAAAATATATTTGCTTTTATACATTTATGCTGAAATCTTGTGTTCCCTAATGTTGCAGGTTACTAAACAATCCAGATATAGCTGCCCATTTTGCTCACCCATCTGTGCCACATTGCTACCGTGCTGGCTATGAGGAGGCTATCAAGAACTTCCAGCTGAAGAAGTTCCTCTTGCTGGTGTTCTTCCTAGATCATGCCAAAACTACCCGCCTGATGGACCATGACCCTTGCCTGTTTAATAAAGAGGCAGAGTACAAGGTTTGTATATGGACCTACTGTAATTCCTTGTTAGTTTGACTGTATGCAGATACTGCGTATTATATTTACAGTTTTCTAATGTTTGTCTAATTCCTACAGAGTAGCAGAGACATACTGATTGCCTTTGCAAGAGAATTCTTGTCTGGTGTTGGTGATATCACAAAACACCTGGGATACTTAGGTTACACTGTAACCCATAAACAAACTGTTTTAGAGGAGTTTGATTATGCTGTAAAAAATCTAGCTGTGGATTTGCGGTGTGGCATCAGACTGACGTAAGAATTTTTTCTATATTGGTTGTAAAAAGATGAATTATTGATATGGACTTCTATCCAGTAGTTTTTAGTGGAACATTTTTATAAGATTTTTTATAAATTTCAGACGGGTGATGGAAATGTTGACAAAGAACTTTAAGCTGAGTCCGAAGATGCGAGTCCCAGCGATTAGCAGACTACAGAAGGTCCATAACACAGATGTGGCACTCATTGCTTTGGAACAAGCAGGCTGCAAAGGGGTTAAGGCCAAGTTCCCATCCAAAGACATTGTAGATGGCCACAAAGAGCAGACACTGGGTTTGCTTTGGACAATTATCTTTAGATTCCAGGTGAGATTACTAGTTAATGTGTTATTAATTTTTTCTTTTGTGTTTATGCTTATATATTTTCCAACTCTGAAGGAGAATTCCTTTTAACAAAACATTTATGAAAAATGCAAGTTGAATATGCAGAATATTAACAATGATATTTACTAAAGTGATGAAATGGAAAGAAAGACTATATGATACTGATAAGTACCCTGTATTAATGTCAAACTAACCAGTTTAAACAAATTTTGCAGGTATCTGTGATAGTGTCAGAGATCCGTCTTCGTGAGGAGATTGGATATCTTCGCAGGTCGCTGGTGGTAAGGTCTCAGCTTGAGCAGCGGGCTCTTGCTGGACTGGAATCTGTCAATGAGGCAATAACTGAGCTTGGTCAGCTGTCCAAGACAGAAAAGGAAAGTGATGAAACTTTACTCACCTACTTAAAGCTATGGGCCCAGTTTGCTTGTGCTCATTACGGTGTTCAGGTAAGCCTGATTACTTTTTTTCTTCTTTCCTTCCTTTTCTTTCTTTAAAAAAAGAGTATTTTTCCAGTTTGGTGGTAAGAATTTCTACATGTACAGGTAGCTCAGATGCTGTTCAGCCAAGATGAAGATATACTAGACCTACAATATCTTGCATCTTCTTGTGTCCTATGCTAAAACATTTTTTGTTTACCATCCAGGTTGAAAATCTGACAGTCTCCTTCTCTGATGGCCGTGCTCTGTGCCTCCTCTTGCACCACTATTACCCAGACCTCATGCCTTTACACCTGATCAACTTGGAAACCACACAGAATATGCCCTCTCAGGTTTGTTTTTCTTTTCTTGTTGATTATTTTTTATTTTATTATGAGTGATTACAGATTTATATGAACATTACAGTATTTTTGGTTTTATGAAGTGCAACAGCATTTATATATTTTTTTTCTTGCAGGGAATAAATCTGGATATATCAGTGGATGATAGCTTTACCGACATGACATACACGGACACAAATGACAAGGAAGAATACAATCGGCGTCTTGCAAATGAGAGGGAGAATTTTGCTGTGTTTGTTGATAAGGTATGGACAAAATTTAACCTTTTGTTGCTGTATATATGTATATACATCTATGTGTATAAATTCATGTATTTGTATAAGATATAAATATGTACGTGTATATACACACAAACACACACACACTCACATGTGTATATATGTGTACACACACACACACACACACACACACACACACACACACACACACACACACACACACACACACACACACACACACACACACACACACACACACACACACACACACACACACACACGTATGTATGTATGTATGTA